AGATAATGTGTGACTGACTACTTGTTGTCATCTTTTCTGACCCAACAGAACCAGAGAGCGTTCTTAATCTCACTGTTACTGATGTCACAACATCGTCCCTGAGCTTGAACTGGACTAAACCACAGGGACGCAGCTCCATCTATTCAGTTCAGTGGACTGATGGAGGCCACTCCAAGGAAGAGACTGTGACTGAAACATTCAGAGTCATTTCTAACCTGACTTCTGGTGTGGAGTATAATATAACTGTCACTGCTGTGGCAGGAGACAATGAAACAAAAGGAAGTGGTGTGAGCATAAGTCAGTTCACAAGTAAGTAAAAGAGGAGAGAAAACGTCAGATAAGTCCACGGAATCACTGACATGTCCTTTGTCCTTCTTTATAACTGAAGAAGATGACAAAGTCTGGGATCTTGTCTTTTATTCAGAAAGAAGACATGTTTTATTGTCGATGGTAGAAACAGCACAAACAAAGATGTTACAGAATGCATGTGATAATTTAGGATATAGAGGAATGGAGTCCTCCAATCAGCTTTTGCCATTGTGCCAGAAGCTTCAACCTTGAGAAAACCAAAACATGCAGTGGAAAAGTACTGCCTTGAGCATATTGTTAGAATGATGAGTTACTGTAGAACTTTAACCACAGTTGCTTCAAAGTGTCATGAAATATCTAATAAACGTTTATCAAATCTGGAAGGTGACCTTTGTACTGCACTGACAAATATTTTTCACATTAAGAAATCCATCATCTCAAGTTGTTGCTATTTAAAAACATAATCCAAAGGTTTAGGTAAAACTAAACATCTCTAAAGAAAATAAAAAGCAAACTCCTTGGAGTCCGCAATCAAGCTCCAGGCAAAAACAGTACAGCACAAAAACTGGTCTTCCACCTGAAGAAACAAAAACACAAAATGACTAAGTCCAAGAAGTGTAGCTCAAACATCTGAGTCACAGATTCTTCCACAGACACAGACCAACTGGCCAAGTGGAGATCCTGAGAATAAATATGGTGCTTGGAGTGGAGGCAGACGGGCTCCCTTCAAACTGCCAGTAGCAGCTCATGTGCAGTAGAGGACAGAGGAGACTCACAGACACACAAGGGGAGGGAAGGAGGTGCACAAGAGGAGCAGGGAGGAGTAAAAACTGTCCTCATGACACAACTTTGTTTGACCTGGATCAAAGGTCCACACAGACACATGTTATAGAGTGTGAAAGCTGTGTCGATTCATGTAGTTGTATTCGGTTATCAGGGGCAATGTGATCACCTCTGTGTGTGCGTCTGTCTGTAGGCAGGACTGTGGTAATGTAGATATTGTGAGACGTTAAATAACCCCAGTTAAATGTCTGCACAGATCTATGAATGCAATCATCAAATGCATCTTACCTTTTCTGACCCAACAGAACCAGAGAGCGTTCTTAATCTCACTGTTACTGATGTCACAACATCGTCCCTGAGCTTGAACTGGACTAAACCACAGGGACGCAGCTCCATCTATTCAGTTCAGTGGACTGATGGAGGCCACTCCAAGGAAGAGAATGTGACTCAAACATTTAGAGTCATTTCTAACCTGACTTCTGGTGTGGAGTATAATATAACTGTCACTGCTGTGGCAGGAGACAATGAAACAAAAGGAAGTGGTGTGAGCATAAGTCAGTTCACAAGTAAGTAAAAGAGGAGAGAAAACGTCAGATAAGTCCACGGAATCACTGACATGTCCTTTGTCCTTCTTCATAACATGTATCAAATCTGGAAGGTGACTGTTTTACTGCACTGACAAATATGTTCAACATTGAAACATTTGTCGAGTTTGTTTGACCTGGATACAAAAGTCCACACAGACTCATGTCATAGACTGTGTCAGCTTCAGAAATATGTGTAGATTCATGTAGTTGTATTAGGTTATCCTTATCCTACTGATGGCTAATGTGTTCACCTGTGTGTGTGTGTTTGTGTGTGAGAGAGTGTGTGTGTGTGATTGTGAGTCTGTTTGTCTGTAGGCAGGATTGTGCAAAAACTTCGGGTGAATTAAGATGAAATTAGGTGTGTAGATGTGATGTAATGGGAGGAAGACACTATTAATTCAATCTGGAGAGACCAAAACAAAAACATTAATGCATTTAGAAAGATGTATTTGTTTGGCGCATTGACACCGGCAGTGACACTTGCAGAAGGGAGATCATTTTTTCTGTAGATGATCTCAGATCCCCCGGGGTCAAGCACTGGCGGTGGCTAGAGTATAGTTTTAATGGGGTGTAGGCGGAGCAGGAGCTTGAGGAGGCGCTGGGGAGACGGTGGATGTGAAAAGCTTTGAGAAGCGCTGGTTATTAGGAAGTGACTGCTTTTAAACTGCCGCTTTGCTGTCAGTAGGTTGGCAGGAGGGCTGGCCGAGCTGTGTGATTGGCTGAGGCTCGAGGCTGGCAGAGCTGTGTGATTGGCTGAGGCTCGAGAGGTTGGTCCTGGATGGGGTGAGAGCTGCAGCAGAGGTCTTCCCAGTCCGAATTTACGCTTAAGATTCATAATGTGACAATCCCTTGGCGGGGTATGCACTCTCCGACTCATGCCTTAGTTTTCACTTGTCTTGATGCTGGTGATATTTTAGTGAATCTTCTGCGTCTTATGGACTTTGTGTGGCGTTGTATAGTTGTAGTCCTTTTGAAGGAGACATATCATTGAATCATATCATACTGCTGCAGTGTTTCCTCACCTTTAACTTTTGCAAACTTTGACTTGTTTGATGCATCTTTAAATAATCTTGTTATTTATTTGCTCAGAAAATGTCTGTTTTCACCATAGACTGTATATATTAACGGACAGCCTATCTCCGTCGTTCTAACTAATGGGCCAAAAAATGTGCTCTTCTGGAGATATCCAAAATGGCCGCGAGTGGTCCCGCCCACAAGAAAATTGTGAAAAAACCCATCTGCGCATGCGTCAGCCGGCGCAGCTCCATTCATTTGAAAGAGAGACTTCAAAAATTCACAGCGAGTAAACTAGAGTGGCCAAAAAAAATGCACCCCTCTCAGCATTGACACACATGTGGAACGGAGCTTTGGGCTTAAGAGCCAACTTTTGGTCCATCCTGTAAAGACGTTTTCAAGAGGTCTGCCAATGCTATATGTTAGCATTGGCTAATTCTACTTCTGGGTCCACCCCCATCGGCCCGGGGTGGTATTGCAAGCATGTCAGCGCCTGTCAATTTGGCCACGTCTGAGCCGGGATCCACCCCCACTGGTTTTCACTCAGCGGCGTATGAAGATAATGTGTGACTGACTACTTGTTGTCATCTTTTCTGACCCAACAGAACCAGAGAGCGTTCTTAATCTCACTGTTACTGATGTCACAACATCGTCCCTGAGCTTGAACTGGACTAAACCACAGGGACGCAGCTCCATCTATTCAGTTCAGTGGACTGATGGAGGCCACTCCAAGGAAGAGAATGTGACTCAAACATTTAGAGTCATTTCTAACCTGACTTCTGGTGTGGAGTATAATATAACTGTCACTGCTGTGGCAGGAGACAATGAAACAAAAGGAAGTGGTGTGATCATAAGTCAGTTCACAAGTAAGTAAAAGAGGAGAGAAAACGTCAGATAAGTCCACGGAATCACTGACATGTCCTTTGTCCTTCTTTATAACTGAAGAAGATGACAAAGTCTGGGATCTTGTCTTTTATTCAGAAAGAAGACATGTTTTATTGTCGATGGTAGAAACAGCACAAACAAAGATGTTACAGAATGCATGTGATAATTTACGATATAGAGGAATGGAGTCCTCCAATCAGCTTTTGCCATTGTGCCAGAAGCTTCAACCTTGAGAAAACCAAAACATGCAGTGGAAAAGCACTGCCTTGAGCATATTGTTAGAATGATGAGTTAGAACTTTAACCACAGTTGCTTCAAAGTGTCATGAAATATCTAATAAACGTTTATCAAATCTGGAAGGTGACCTTTGTACTGCACTGACAAATATTTTTCACATTAAGAAATCCATCATCTCAAGTTGTTGCTATTTAAAAACATAATCCAAAGGTTTAGGTAAAACTAAACATCTCTAGAGAAAATAAAAAGCAAACTCCTTGGAGTCCTTAATCAAGCTCCAGGCAAAAACAGTACAGCACAAAAACTGGTCTTCCACCTGAAGAAACAAAAACACAAAATGACTAAGTCCAAGAAGTGTAGCTCAAACATCTGAGTCACAGATTCTTCCACAGACACAGACCAACTGGCCAAGTGGAGATCCTGAGAATAAATATGGTGCTTGGAGTGGAGGCAGACGGGCTCCCTTCAAACTGCCAGTAGCAGCTCATGTGCAGTAGAGGACAGAGGAGACTCACAGACACACAAGGGGAGGGAAGGAGGTGCACAAGAGGAGCAGGGAGGAGTAAAAACTGTCCTCATGACACAACTTTGTTTGACCTGGATCAAAGGTCCACACAGACACATGTTATAGAGTGTGAAAGCTGTGTCGATTCATGTAGTTGTATTCGGTTATCAGGGGCAATGTGATCACCTCTGTGTGTGCGTCTGTCTGTAGGCAGGACTGTGGTAATGTAGATATTGTGAGACGTTAAATAACCCCAGTTAAATGTCTGCACAGATCTATGAATGCAATCATCAAATGCATCTTACCTTTTCTGACCCAACAGAACCAGAGAGCGTTCTTAATCTCACTGTTACTGATGTCACAACATCGTCCCTGAGCTTGAACTGGACTAAACCACAGGGACGCAGCTCCATCTATTCAGTTCAGTGGACTGATGGAGGCCACTCCAAGGAAGAGACTGTGACTGAAACATTCAGAGTCATTTCTAACCTGACTTCTGGTGTGAAGTATAATATAACTGTCACTGCTGTGGCAGGAGACGGTGAAACAAAAGGAAGTGGTGTGAGCATAAGTCAGTTCACAAGTAAGTAAAAGAGGAGAGAAAACGTCAGATAAGTCCACGGAATCACTGACATGTCCTTTGTCCTTCTTATAATAAACGAACATATTATATACATTCAATGGAAGAGTTTCAGGTCCTTGAGGATGAAAGGGTAATTAGACCTTAATCTACACATTTATCCCAGTTGGTGTAACTTCACCCTTCAGTTGTTGGTAGTCTGTGTGAACCATCCGAAAACCATTTCATTCATGAATATTGTTATCTCTTCTAGTGCCTGAACAGCCTGTGGATGTCACTGCCCGCCCGAACACAGATAGCCTGAACATAAGCTGGATCTTACCCAAAGGCCGTGTGGATCAGTTTGAAATACTGCTCGGACAGAAATCAAGCCAGACCACTTCTTCCTGGATTCTTTTCACCAACTTATCCCCAGGACAACTGTTCCCTGTCACTGTAATTGCCGTTGCCGGAGAGTTAAGAGCCAGTTCAAAAAACGCAACGTTTGCCACTTGTAAGGTGTTTTTTTTCCTCAGTTCTTCTGTTTAGCTCCTACAAACTCTAACCAACAGCATGTTCCAGATCCACTTCCACCTGAGCACATCAACGTTTTGGACAGAACAAACTCCTCACTTGACCTGAGTTGGGCTGTTCACCCACGGATGCTGGATGCTCCCAACATCAGTTACAACATTACCTACTGGGAAGATTCTGGTCTGCCTACTGGCCGGGCCTCATCAGTGAACAATAGTACAACTCTGTCATTTCTTCATTCTGGAACGCAGTATGATATATCAGTGGAAACCGTGGGACCACAGGATCTCCTCAGCGAAAATGTCACAATCAGAGCTTGTACAAGTAAGTATTTGATTTTATTTAGTGTCTGTCTAAACAAATTCAATATAATCTAATCTTGCTAATTTATTAAGTAAAAGTGAAATGTGGCATTACTAGACCAATTTAATACTTAGGAATTTGCCAGCTCCTGCTTCCCATGTCTAAACAAAATGCAAATTACGGGTAGATCATTTTATTGAGATATTGTTGAATGTAATAGTCATTGCAATGGGATTAACATGGAACCAGACGTGGACCTCATACGAGAAAACCCAGGTGCTCAACTGTGTGCAAAGTAAAATAGTTGGTGCAATTTCCCGGGCTTATTCGAATAGCGCATGTGCATGATCAATCCATTATCTCCAGTGTTGAGAGGTGCTCATCAGTTTCACACTCACACGCTTGATAAATATGATTAGTGTTCTCCTTAATACAGTTTTTTGATAATGTTAATAACGCAGAAGCCAGATTCCATCAGACCTCTGAAGCTGTGCAGGGCAGGGCCTAGTTAGTTCTGTGATGGGAGACCTTTGGAAAAATGCCACAGTGGGGCGGCTGCGGCTTTAAAGTGCCAAACTGTTGTTGGCACTTTACACTTTGGCAAGAAACTTCACCCACATTGCATTGAAAGAGTTTGGTGTGTGTGTGAATGGCTGGTGGTGGTTGGAGGGCCAATGGCACGTACTGGTTGCCTCGCTTCTGTTACTGTACCCCAGGGCAGCTGTGGCTACAATAGTAGTTTATCACCACTGCACTGAAAAGCTAATGTAAAACTAATGCATTATTAATATTATGATGTGTTTTTCCCTTACAGATCCAAATCCAGTTTTGAATCTCAGGGCTTCACCGGAAACCAACACATCAGTGAAAGTTGAGTGGTCCTACCCACAGGACAACAAGCCACATTACTCCTACATCATTTTGATTCACCACAACGAAACCAAGAGTGTTGTCAGGAATCAAACTGTCAAAGACAACTTTTCTAGTATAACAGAACTGGATCCAGGGACAAAATACCAGTTTGCTGTTACCATAATTTTCACACCAGAATGCCAGTCCACACCAGAAGTGTTCTACAGCTTCACAAGTAAGATGCCATATAAGACTTTAAAAATGTTTTGATAATTAATGTTGAGTTTTTTACAGAACCCAATGCTGTGTCAGACCTTAAAGTCCAGACTGAGAACACTACATTCGTCAAACTGATCTGGTTGAACCAAATTCAATATGGCAGCCCGTCTCTTTACTTGGTGCAAACTTATCAAGAATCTGATCTGATCTACAATGACTCGACAGTCGCACAGTCCTACACCATCCCTGGGCTGACACCTGGAGAAATATACACCTTTACTGTCATAGTGGAGGTAGAAAACGTCCAGTCTGATGTGAGGAGCATCAAAGATCATAAGATGAGTGAGTATGCGTGAATGTCTGAGCACACGCAGCAATGTTTAAAGTGAATGTCAGTAACTTCTCAAATTGTAAAGAGCTTGAAGACAGGCATGGATTAGACCCGCCTATTCTCACCCACGCACCCTCCTGATTGGCCGAAATGAATTCAAATCCTTGAGGCCCCTAGCCATTGGTTTAACTATTCTCCTCCATCAAATCTTACAGGGGAGGGACTACTGAAAACATTATAGTTGAAAAATACTTACTGTACCAAATAGTCCCGTGCCCCTTGGTCAGAAATATACATTCTTTGAAAAGTGAAATACAATTTAAGATCACCTTTGATAGGGAGAAACAATGATGTGAGGATTTGAGTAAAAGTAAAATTTTGATTTGAGTAAAAGTGACTATGTATAATGTATAGTCTTCAAATTTTTGTACAAACCATCACCTGAAAGTCAATGGCAGTTGTGCTTAGTCCTTTTCAGCACGGCTAAAATGGCATTTGTATATAGTTGTTCAACACACACAGCTAATTGACCATTTTTAAAACCCTATAGACATAGACCTGATATAATAACTCACATTATTGGTATCGTATGCAATTTTCAGATCCTGCAGCTGTCACTGACTTACAAGTCTCAGGAAGCACTACTAATCTGACAGTGAGTTGGACTCTGGCTGATGGGAGAGTGGATAACTACGTAGCCGTGCTTTACAACAAAACTCAACAAGTTCAATCTGAGCAAAACCTCAGCAACAACACTTCTGGCACAACTTTCACTGAACTGAGACCAGGCCTGGAGTATTGTGTCGAAGTGTCCGCCAAAAGAGGATCCTTGAAAAGTAATCGTACTGAATGCAATGCAACTTGTAAGTGAGCACTAATTATGAAATGCAAAAGTGTAATTGAGTTTGGTTCACAAAACATGTTTAATTTCCTGTTTAGTCCCAAACCCACCAGGGGAAATGAACGTGAGTCAAACTGAGAGATCCATACTGTTTACCTGGGACACTCCTGAGGATATGGAAGCAGATCAGTACTATTTCACGGTGACCACTCTCATCGGAACCAACTTCATCCAAAACAACTCATTTGCCTTGGAGGACCTGGAGCCTGGAAGCCCCTACAACATATCTGTGGCCACTGTTGGCGATTACAACTACACCAGCAAGAAAGTTACAGAAACCGCTTACACCAGTGAGTCTATTGAGCCAATATGCTATCGTTTTCTGATACTGTGCCATTAGTATATGCCACATCTCTCTGGTCTCTCTCTGGTCTCTTTCGCTGGTCTCTCTCTGGTCTCTCTCTGGTCTCCCTCTGACCTCTCTCTAGTCTTTCTCTGGTCTGATAGGGAAGAGTTTGAGAGGGAGGGATAGGAAGGAGAGAGAGAAGATGGAAGAAGGAGGGAGGAGGAGGAGGAGGAAAGAGGATAGAGACAGGAATGACATAATATTATGCCATAAAAGGCAATTGTTTTTTTAAGGAGGGCAGTGTTACGGGCCAGGCCCTTAGTGTCCAGGAGAGGGTGCTGTATGTGTTGGCCTGCCTTCGCCTCCTCCTCTGTGCAGGTACACCCCTGCACCAATAAACTATTGGTTTAAATATGATAAACTTTAGGGTCCAGTAGAAATGATCAAAAATCGTAACTTTTTTTTTGTCTTATGAAAATACTATGATTTCAATAGCTGGTTCTTGCCTCTTGGAGTAAAAAAATTACCACTATGCAATAGCTTTATTTTTCACACCTGACCTATGTATGTATTTTTAGGCCCGAGCCCCGAACGGGGTAAGGGCCTATTGCTTTCACAATGGTGAATGCAAGGGGTGGCGGTGCGTGACGGACGCGACAGCGTCTGTCACTCACCACAACGTGACGGTTGCGTGCGTAAACTCAAACGCTTTAAAATGATGTATCACGTGCCATTGAACCCTATATTGTTTTTGCTCGAGACGTCAACAAAAAAGTCCTTGGTCTGGTTTGGTTTCTTTTTTCTCCTGCTCTTTGAGCCTTAATTTGACCCCCTCAACATGCATGAAAATCAGACCTGGCGAAAAATTTGATATTTTGGTGTTTATATTTATGGGACTCAAAAAATGCCAGAACAGCGCCACCTACAACAGCCGAAAAAATACCCCTATGGGAGTTTCAGAGGTCAAGTTTGTCGTAGAGCCATGAAATTCAGTACACATGTTCCTCAAGTCAAGACAAGAAAAAAATATGATTATGGCCCCGCCCTCTGACAAAGAGGAAGCCCATAAATTTCACTGCAAAATGGAAAAATGAACAGCAATAATGTTGTTTTTGTTTGCAAAATTATGATTATTTTTGTAATGATATCTTTATTCACAGAACCATGTGCTGTCACTGAGTTGCGACAAACTGAAATCACGGTCGATTCTGTCACGTTGATGTGGAATCAGACGGACTACAAATCAGATTATTCCTTTTTGGTGGAAGTCAGTAACATCTCCAGTAAAATCTCCAGTAACATCTCCAGGGACTTCACGTACACAGCGGAGATGCTCATTTCTGGCACTAACTACAGCTTCAGTGTCACAACTCTAACAGCAGATGGCACTAAAGCTTCTTCAGAGACTGTGTCCTACTTCACAAGTATGTTTCTCTTCAGTTTCATTCATTCATTTAAGCAGAAATAGCTACATTCATACATTTATCATATTTTTTCCTACAAGCTACATATGCATAAATATACACATAGAAAAACAGTATTTAACAGTTTTAACCAAACTCTTTAGATATATTTATAATTTCAGAGGTCTTTTGTCTATGTTTTATCCATTCACTTAGAATCCATTTATTTTATATTGACAACAATCAGAACCACAGTCGTCACAGAATCTTATGAGGTGAAAAGACAAAGGAGCCCAAAATGCAGGACTAAAAATTAAGCGTGATTTAATGAAATAAAACCAAATCCAGGGTAAGAATAAAACAAAAGAAATCCAGAACTAAAAACAAGCCAGAAACAAATGTGGGATAGACAACAAACGGACGAGTGGGAAAAAGTACAAGGTATAAATACACAAGGAGACACAGAAAGACAACAGATGAGGAAACAAGACACATTTGTTTTTATAATACATAGTGTAAAATGTATGTAAGGATGTTGGAGATTAAGCGACTAAAAGGTAATATTTGATGCATTCCTCCATGGCTAAAATAATCCCTAAAATAAAGTAACTGAACAGAGAGAAAATGCAAACATAGGAACTGTTTTTTTTTACTATACTAAAATCTTGTATATACTAAAATGCAAAATATTCTTTGTTTTGCAGGGCCTTACAGTGTTAGGGCTTTGACTGCAAACCCAAACACCACTTCTATTGCTCTGACGTGGGACCAACCACAGCAGTACAAACCTGAATACACATATGTGGTTATAACATCCAGTTGTGTAGAAACGCACAACTGTACCAAAGTACGCGAAGAATCGATAGAAGTTTCAGATCTCACTCCAGGAACAAACTACAGCTTCTGTGTGACGGTAACGGCTGCAGATGGGACAGAAGGAACGCCGGACTGCACGACTCAGTACACCTGTAAGTAAACTATCCATCTATACATCCGCCTGCTGATCTTATTTCAAAGATTAAGAGATCATTTATTTGTCCCAGAGCCGAGAAATGTCAGTGCTGCATCACAGGTTGCACAAATAACTCTATAGAAGCAAGAATTAAGTACAAAATCTCTGACTTTAGCATAATACATGATAGTGCTGCATTTGTACATGTACAAATGCTAACATACTGCTGCTGATGTACAGATGCCAACATGTATACTGGCCTCTTATTTTGCCAAATGTAAAACTTTTATCCTTCTTTTTTATTATTATTATTTTCAAGATAGAGATTTTATACTTGGCATTTGATGCTGGAGTTAGAGATTTTGTTTTATTTTAATTAGTATAGCTATTGTTCACTTATAACTTGTGATGCAACACTGACATTTCTCCACTGTGGGACGAATAAAGGATCCCTTAATCTTAAAAGTAAGCAAGTTTAAAAAAATACTGTATGTTCTAGTGTAAGAAATGTATAGTTGTGTGTATTCATCTGCACATGTTAGCTGCATGAGGGGATGGGACAAAGGGACAGTGGACAAATGGCAAATTAACAATGTTTTTTCTCCTCTTTGCTTTTCAACAGATCCGGCAAAAGCAGTTGTCTTCTTCAGTGAGGTCTCTAACTGTTCCATGCAGGTGTCATGGGCAAAGCCTCTTGGAAATGTTGAATATTTTACCGTATCCTTGAATCAAAGCGAAACATCTGGGAAGCTTAACTCCAGCGACCGTTCCTATTCATTTAAGAACTTGCGAGCTGGAAGAAATTACACTGCTGTGGTTAAAACACACAGTGGACCTTACAACGTGTCGTCGGAACCTGTTACTAATTCTACACGTAAGTATAAGCTAGTTTTAATATTACAAATTGATTTTTTTCAAGGCCAAAAGGACTCGTGAAAGAAAATGTTTCACCTGATCATTGACAGCATCCAATACATTTCACCGGGTTATTTTTTTACAGAAGCAGTTTATTTTAGAGATAAGATAAGATAAACCTTTATTAGTCTCACAGTGGAGAAATTTCAGTGTCATCATTATTCATCATCATTATTATTTTAGAGTGAATAGAAGATTATCTACACACCAATATTACACACAACCAGTAAATCCACCAGTATCACTCATGAAGATAGAAAAAAAATTAGTTTTTATCTGCTCACAAAGTTCAGGTCAATCATTTCACCAAAATTGTCGGGTCAAATATTGAACCAGTAGTGTATTTATGCTTAGTGCTTTCGTTTAAGTAGACCTAAGTGCACCAGAGGATGGTTCAATTGGGCCAAGTATGAACGCACCCTGAGAGAGATTATTCTTCAATTGATTATTATTAACATTAACAAATATATATACTAAGTACCAACAAAGTGTATGTAAACTGCTGGAATCCTTTTTATCTTTCAAATGATCTGTATTTCACAGTGAGTCAGATTATCATAGAGCTGAGCAGAGTCATAATAGAGAGTTATTTTATGTTTTAAACCTGGATTTGGTGGACTTTAAAATACTTTGTCTCCAGAATCTGGCTTAGTTTATTAATGAAACCCCAAAACCTGAACATAGTTGTACAATGTGAATGGAGGCAAATGCCAAGTGTTTGTTTGGATTGGACCATATATATAATTGCTTGGTCAATGCCTCAGTATGTTATAAATAAAACATTCATTATTTAGCCACTTCTCAACAACTTAACTCCATCGAGTCGACTCTCCTCTCCACAGATATGACCCGAACGTAGATACTTGAGTTTCATGTCTTACTGTGGGACTTAAAACAGCCTTTAGATTTAGACCCCCAGCAAAAAGCGCCCGCTCCCCCCAGAAATGTATGTATTTAGTGAACCTTTAAATTGAATGTTTTATGTTTCATTTTTTTCCTAGTTCCTAACGCTCCAGGAGCCATCGATATTGAGAGCAAAACCACCGGCTCCATCAACATCAGCTGGGAGGAAGCCCCTTTGATGACCGGGGCCGAGTTCCATTATCTCATTGAAATTACACCTGGAGAATTCAACACCACCCGAGAGACCAACTATGAATTTGATGGGCTGATGTCTGGGACGTCTTACAATGTCTCTGTTACTACGGTCTCAGCTCTGAACTTCCAAAGTGAAAGTGTGCGGAGAGACATGATCACCACAAGTAAGTTTTACTCTTTTGCATACAATCGTCTTTGTGAATAAGTTATCCAAGTTATCCAAAAAGAGGAAGCTGCTTGAGAAATATTTGTTGAAGAAAAATAAGTCATATATAATGTTAATATAGGTGAGATTAATTAATATATATTTTTTATGTTGTCAATCTGGTTTGTGTCTAATTATGTTTGTGCAATTTTTTTTATTAACTGAATATTCTGGCATATTTTAGCTGAAATGTGTTTGATCTCAATACATTTATTATTTGTTTATATTTATTAAATTAAACTACAACTGGAAAGTAATTTTGTTGTACTTTTTTAAGTCAGCTTGGAAAATGATTAATGTTATTGGAAAGTCTGAATTTTTGCAAACTTTGAAAACAAATTCAAGGCTTCGAGATAATGAACGAAATTACAAATATTATGTCCTATTAATAAACAAAACCATCTTTGCTATAGTAGTGTGACTGCTTTATATAAGAGCGGCTTATTATGGAAATTCAGGTGTCCAGCAGCAGAAAACACATCCATAAAAACACATAACTGCATCAAGTATATGTTTTAGAGTCTGTAGAATCTACTTAACAATTACAATGATCAAAATGTGAATATGCACAGCCATTTTTCCACAATGTTGAGAAAAACTATGAATTACTCCATTTTCAAAAGCCTATATCTTTCCCAGTTTTTGTCACTTTTATGTCATTTATATGTTTTTCCCTCCAAAAGGACCATTTAGCGTCAAAACCCTGAAGTCATATCCGAGTGAGAAGAGTGTTAAACTGAGTTGGGTTGAACCTGATCAGCATAAGATCAGCTACAGATTCAAAGTGACAGCTCTGAACTCCACCGGGGCCGTTATCCAAGAGAATACGACTCAGAATCCACTTTACACCTTCAGTTCTCTGGATCCAGGCACTTCCTATAGGTTCAATGTCACAACAGAGACCGCCGATGGTACCGAGGGGGCGTCAGAGGAGACTTCCAACTGCACAGGTATTTTATATATAGCAATGCAATGTCTTATTAGTTTTATTAGAACAAATAGATTCATCTCTTGTCATTTACAGATGCCAGTGCAGTGAAATCATTCAGTTGCAAAGCCCCAAATGATCCAAACGCAACAATAACATGGTTTTGGGAGAAGCCGAACGGTGGCGTTTCCAGTTTCTCAGTGCAGTTTGGCAAAGATACAACTCACGAGAAATGTTGTTCATTCACAAAAGGAGATCTTAAGCATTTTACTGATTATACAGCAACAGTGACGACGCAGAGCTGTGGTAAACCCAGCGCAACCTTGAGCAAGACCTGCAAGACCGGAATCACAGGTGGGGCAATACAACGCTTTCATGTTCAAAGGGTAGGCAGGTACCAATTCAACCATGGAGAATGACAATGTAACTCTATGGGAAAGTTAAAAATGAAAATATCCCATTGAGTTTCTCCAGATCATTATTTGACAGTGATTAGATCCTTAAATCTGCCATATTATTATTAAGTCTAATAGTCCTTTCTGCTGGCCAACTTCATATGTATGTTGCTTTAAAATATATATTGTCACCACTTCTAGACACCTTTATGGAAATAAATAGACCTTAGTTGTTATGTACAGTATATAGACAAAAATAATGTCATACTTAGTGCCAGTTTTTGTTTTATGTAGTTTGGTCCAGGAATTACAGAGAAGTTAGCTATAAACTGAGACTTGGATACCGACAAAGCACCTATAGTTATACTGAAATAACTTGTATGTGGAGGAAAACAGAAAACTAAAAATGTGTCTAATATAACCTGTACTTAGTTTTAATTGGTGAATTGTCATCCTCCTCCTCACTGTTTTGAGGAGTTCCCCAGGGCTCAACTCTGGGCCCCAAGCTATTTACTTTACTTTTGTTGCTCACCGTTATGGCGCCGTTGCATGGAGCCGTAAAGACGGCGCCGTGGCAAGAGCTCTGGTGTGTGCCGTCTGGTGCACACTAGGGTAGTTTTGCACAGTTTTTCCAATGTGGTTTTACTGCAAATAAATGAATCTGAATCTGATGTAGTTGACCTCTATTACCCTGTGTTTCATATCTATATGATAACAAAGACAATTGTGTAGTTTACAACCTTTACTACAAACATGTTTCTTTAATATCGCATGTGTATCCAGCTCCAGGCATACCGGAGAACTACAAATCCATGCTGAGTTTAAAAAACGTGAAATACAATGAGTTCACAATTGTCATTAATCCCAGTCTGCTGAACAACAGCTATGGACCGATCAAATATGTGGGAGTGTTAGTGACAGAAAAAGCAAAGGGTAAGTTTTTGTGTGTGTTAATTTTTTTTTTTTTCCTTTTACAATATTATTATTTTTGCTTTAATCTAGATGTCAACCAATCAGACGTGGCGCAGTACTTGGAAAACACATATGAGCAGTGGAAAGCCAAGACAGTAAATGTGTATTTGGCGTCAGTGATAGAAACAGGGGAACATGCGAGAACAAGAAGTACGGAAAAGTCTCTTGAGATACACGTAGGAGATGTAACTGTGTGGAACAATCACTATGACAACGGTCGCCTGGAGGCCAGCAAACAATACAAGTAAGATTTTTTTCTCCACAAACGCGTCATTGGGTGTGTCTATACTTGGTCAGAAAGGAAGAGGAATATTAAAATAAATATTGCTCCCTAATCAACAGTTTTTTTTTTTATCTTCATAAATGCTTTTATCTCTCAATACAATATGTGTCTCGATATGCCTGAAACCATACAACTTCCAATTCAATACCGTTGGATATATTTAGAAACAATTTGATTCAGTAAAAATAAATAAACTTTTGGCTCTTTATCCACCTCTTTTGTACAGAAATACAACACTATTGAGGCATTTTGTAATTCATTGATTGAAGATGAACTGTTATTTAAATCCGAATATCAAAACAACATGTTTTTTTTTTAATGTGAAAAAACAGGAAAAATGGATGTTACTTAGTGAGAAAAAATTATAATGCATCTAATTGTTCTTAATTGTGTTATATCTAAAAATCAGGACCCCCGACACACCCTTAACAACTGCATGTCTTACATTAGATCGTACCATGTTAGCATTTACAGGGTGCTCGCGCAAGTGTTGAAAGTCTTAAAAAGTATGGAATTTAGAAACACTGTTTTCCAGACCTTGAAAAGTCTTGAATTTTGTGTGAAAGTCTTAATAAAGTATAGACAAAACATTTTCATTGACTACTAGCCAATAACAATTAACAATTCTAATAAACACAGTTGGTACAATATCAACCAATGAAGTAGGCAGTAGGTACACAAGTGTACAAGTACATAAAGTGAAGGTCTTGGGAAAGTTAAAAAAAAGTCTGGATAAAAGTCTGGGATTTTAATTTGGAAAAGCAAGCACCCTGATTTAGAAAATCATAAAGTAGTGATGATAACTTCTACAACTACAGGTAGATGGGATTGTTGGTTGTGCTCACAAATGATGCCAGGGGCCACCGTCCCTCAGCAGAAGACATGTTTGTTGTTACATGACACAAAGAAACATCACATCTGTTTTCCGAGCGTTTAGATTATTTTATCCCAGGTTTTAGATAGCTCCTATTTACCACAAGTGACGTCATGTGGACTTGAGCGTGTGATTCTGAAGTGTTTGTCTAATATTTTGTATAATTTTCCACAGTTTTGCTCTTGTTTTATTCACCAATCTCACAACCAGGAGTAACGAATCAGTAATAAATGCTGATTCGTCTCTCTATTCATACACTAATTTTGACAATGTTGCAAGTCTACCTCCAAATCCAGGTATCTATCATCGTTTAGCTGAAATATGTATTATGACACATTATTCATTGTATAATTTATTATTTTCCTGCCCTTTAGTGATTATTGGTATAGCGGTTGGATCAACATTGGGCATTTTCTGTGTGTTGTTTTTTATTCTGATTGGATTTATCATTTACTGGAGAAGGTAAGTATTGCAAGTCCAGCCAAAAAAAACTATAATTGACTTTTTACACATATTGTTTCTTTTAGGTTATCAAGCAAAGAATCGTCCGACATTCAAATACATTCCTTAAGGTGGGTTATAATTCTAGTTTGTATGTAAACATTCAAACATGTTCACATACAGATATTTATTGTTTTTCGGTTTTGTCTTAATTTCAGAGCTAAAGTGTAAGTATATTTTGTCTGAACATTTTGAGGTATTTTTTATGGTCTAATATTGTGTTTCTTCTTTCAAAAGGAGCTCCCCTGTGAGAGTTGAAGACTTTGAAGTGTACTACAAGAAACAAAAGGCAGATTCTAACTGCGGTTTTGCTTCTGAATATGAGGTCAGTCATGATACGATTATGCAGCATCTGTTGTGGCTCTGTCATAAATGTACAGTAGGAAAGCGTTTGTGAATTGTCAAGAATAGCTAACCATGTGTCTGTTGTATATGACAAGACATAGTACATTAAAGGATGGCAGGGTAATTTCAACAGAATGACATTGTTTGTACTATTTAAGGACCTTAAAGTCGTTGGTACTGCCCAGTCCAAAATTAATGCCCTGAATCCAGAGAACAAGCCCAAGAATCGCTACAACAACGTGCTTCCATGTGAGTTACTGCGCTACACGATTACACAGATGCACAACTAATCACAATAACTCATATGTTTCCAACCCTTTGCTCATCTTCAAGTTGATGCATCGAGAGTAAAGCTTTCTATCATGCATGGGAATCCTATTGATGACTACATCAATGCTAACTACATACCGGTGCGTACTTACTTTCTGCCATTGCACTAATTATCAACCTCACTTCATTCAAATGCTGAGTTTCCTTCAAACACTAATGGTAGGGTAAAAAAATCGATTTTGTTCAGTATCACGATATTTTGCACACGCAATCGATACAGTGGAGAAAAGTATTTCCATATCTACTCATAATTTTTATCTGTTTAAATTTGGTGTTTTCTTGGAGTTTACAAGAAAACGACAAGGTGGTGCTTGTTTTCGTGCATTCATTCAACAGCAAATTAAAAGGAAAATGGCAAAAATCAAAATCGGTATTCCACTTCTCTCCTAAGTTTGTGCACTTCAGTTAAGGTGTAGACCATAATAAATGTGACATTGCGTTGAGCCGTCTCATTTTTCTAAATTTTTATAATGTCTTTGAATAATATCGCAGAATCGGATCACAATACTTGCTGTATCACAATATGTTAATACAATTGTATTGTTGCCCAAATAGTGCAATACTATATAATTGTCACTTTTCTGCCAATTCCCACCACTTTTTAATACATTTGGATATTTTCAATAATTAATAAATAAAATAAATTAATGCTAATCTTACGGAAAATGACATGTTTTATCGCAGGGTTACAACTGCAGGAAGGAGTTTATTGCAACTCAGGGCCCGTTACCGACCACAGTGGACGACTTCTGGAGGATGATCTGGGAGAAAAACGTTCACAGTGTGGTCATGTTGACCCGCTGCAACGAGCAGGGACGAGTGAGTGCTCCTTTCTGTGTGGAGTTTGCATGTTCTCCCCGTGTCTGCTCTACTTTCCTCGGGTGCCTACTGCTCCTATATTTGAATACAGTATATAGGTCAACACATTCATAATAGATACTTACCGCCTTAGATCCTCATCAGCTGCATCCATCAACCTGGGCCTTATGTTTATTCAATGCAAATTAAAACACATGTCTATTGCTTGCCCCAAAATTAATTCATCCACAATCATTAAGGAAGATAATGTGTCCGTGTATCTGTTTTTGTCCAGGTGAAATGTGAGCAGTACTGGCCTCCTGGCACCAGACACTACGGGAACATCACTGTGACCACGATTTCCGAAATACCTCTTGAAGACTGGACCATCAGGGACTTTGATATAAAAAATGTAAGATTGGCCTTGTGTTTTTGCTGCTTTGACAGACTGATTTACATCTGCGCATGTCTGTCTGTCAGGTTAAGACCGCAGAGACTCGCCATGTCCGGCATTTCCACTTCACAGCCTGGCCCGATCACGGAGTCCCAGAAACCACCGAGCTTCTGATCAGCTTCCGACATCTGGTCCGCGAGCACATGGACCAGTACAGACACTCTCCCACTGTGGTGCACTGCAGGTCAGGCACACACACACACATATACACATACAAATACACATACAAATACATACAAATATACACACAAATACATACAAATAGGCACTTATATAAAATTCCAACTATAATAATAATAATAATAATGTATCAGTTTTATACAGCGCTTTTTGGACACTCAAAGACGCTTCACATGTCATTATTCATTCACTCCACACACAGTGGTGATAAACTACTGTAGCCATAGCTGCCTTGGGGCACACTGACAGAAGCACGGCACGCACACACCATTCATTCAAGGCAATGTAAGTGAAGTGTCTTGCCTAAGGACACAATGACAGTTTGGCAGCTGCCCCACTGTGACACCTGGTGTTCCCAGCGGTCTCCCATCGCAGCACTAATCAGGCCCTGCTTAGCTGTCTGCCACAGCTGCTTTTTTTCCTTATTTCCTTATTATTTATCATTAGAATGTTTCTTTTCTTGTTCTTTTTGTACCCAGTGCTGGTGTGGGTCGCACAGGAACCTTCATAGCCATCGACCGCTTGATATTCCAGATTGAAAGGGAAAATGTGGTGGATGTCTATGGTATTGTCCACGATATGCGCATGCATCGAGTTCTGATGGTGCAGACAGAGGTGAGATGACGCTCAAATATATTTCCCGCCACAAAAACCTTTCTGTTAACGCTGTGTCCTCCTCCTCTTCCTCCGTCAACAGGACCAATTTGTGTTCCTCAACCAGTGTGCGCTAGACATCATCCGATCGAGAACTGGCAACAATGTGGATCTCATTTACCAAAACGCCGCCGCATTCTCCATTTACGAGAACATCGAGCTCCAAAAAAGATAATGTTTCGAATGCAAAAACAAACAGCTCATCTCCAAAACCCAAGAGAAAAAACAATTGGGAACATTTCTGGTTCGATACTGCCTTTATTTATTTTCTAAACCACCAGCTCTGGATCATTTTAATACATCATTATGTAGTTATTAAAAGTATATGAATAATAGGACCAAAAATATTGTTGTTATTTAAATTCTCAGGTGTCATATCTTGCTGTATGAATGTTAGTGTGACTGTATGTGAAAGGAAAAAAAAGACAAAACTTTGCCTAAAACTTGTTTGAGCCTTAAGTGCCACCTGCTTGTCTCCATTGTCAGCCACCGAGCTAACTGTTCAGCACGGTGCACGTTGGCTGAGTAGTTAGCACTCGCACTTCTCAAGGTCAAATCCCGGTCGGAACAGGACCTTTCTGAGTGGAGTTTGCATGCTCTCCCTGTGTCTTAAATCTGTTTATGGTAAATGTTTTATATAAAATACTGTGAAAACTTGTCATATACACCTGTCATACGCTCAAATCAATATTATGTTTATATGACATTAGCTTAGCTTCAATTCAAGCCGTTTCATACATGATTCCCTCTGTTAGAATAATACATGTATACAAAATTGGTGCAACTTTGACAACACTTTACCATAAGGAAGACATATTTCTGACTATTACATTCCCACAAAAGCAGGAAGCCGGCAAACCATCCACGAGAGAAGTGACATAGTTCACCTTTTAATCTGAATCTGTTCTTATTTGTCTTTTACTTTTTACTGTGCAATGGCTTACTGATTTGTATTCACTGTAATGCACTGGATGCATTTGTATTTGAATTGTTCACTCTTGGAATATTGTATGTTTAGAAAAGGTGAGCCAGTGCTTTGTTAAACTGGAAGAACTGTTTTATCACAAGACACAACTATATTAGAACAACTCAGGAATTTGTGATGTCCTGTGTACATTCCACTTATAACAGATAGTGTGTCACTTCCTGTTGCATACCCTGTCTATGTATGGACATTTCCTGTACTCCCAGATGTCCCATGAGAAAGGTACTATGTCTGTCAAAAGCCACTGTTATGTTATTTATTGTATTGTGTGATTTTATTTCAGAAAAGCACTTAAGTGTATAGCAACAGAATAAGAATAAATGTCACAAAATGCTAAGGAAAGATGCATATATTTGTAAATTGCTTGCAGGTACAATGCAGATGTAAAATATTTTGAATAAAGAGGCTGTTTTTACCTATTTTATGTTACTTTGGAATGAGACCGTTTTATTTGACTTTGTATCAGCTTGTGTTGTGACTAATGTTCCAATTAAAGGCTAACTGTTTTTCAATCTCTAAAACTTCAACAACACTTAAAAGAAGCCGATAAGAACAAGACCTTAATTTGTGCCTGGTGCAGAGGAGGAAGTTGGCACGCTTTTGCATTATTGAAAGCTTGACTTGGCAGGTTGTTGAGTGCATTTGAAATCAATGAATTAATAATAGCAGTTCTGTTTTTGTCTCAAGAGACAAAAAAAGGCTGTTCACAGATAAGACTGAAACTCAATTTAAAAGTGCAGTGGTCTAATGTGGTGAAAAGGCCCAGTTCTCTCGCCACTCCCACTGCCATTGGGCAAGATAATACAAAAATGAAAATTATATGCAAACACTTTGGTTGAGTTTGGCAGTTTTCTTTTTTATTTTCTCAAAGCCACTTATCATGGATGATAAATAGTAACAATTATTTCTGTTGATTGGACCATAATTGTTTTGGTTTTGGTCCTGTGCATTATTTCCAACGCTTTTTCTACTATTGATTCCGTGTATAGACATGGTGGTGGTGTACTGTTCTGACCCAGTTGAATCTAAACTGCTATACAAGAGTACATTTCAGGCTGCAGCTAGACTCCTGTAGATTAGGGTGATCAGAAATCCCTTGTTACCCAGGACCGGACCAGTTTTGGGCTATGTGTTCCATCATGTCCCAGTGGATTTACCTGAAATCATACATTCCTCCCAGTTTATTATATAGGGCGTGTGCCAGACCTGTCATGTGAGTACACATCTACTACATTGCTTGCTCTATTCAAGTAAAATATTTACCATATACCCAACATGTTCCATATGGGGAATTTGGTAAACCAATCTAATTATGTACAAATATATATAACTAGTTGCACTAGTTTATCGTCTAAGTAAGACATGGAATAATTGAGAAATAAAATGAACAGTAATCATCATAATTGTAATAGATATCAAATAGCTATACAAATACATGTTGATTATTGATGGAAGAAAAATGCAATACAAATGTCAATCTAGAGCAAACAATGCATCAATCTAGATTCCTTCCGTCATAATACGCCAACATGTACTCGATTGTATATGCCTAAAAACCTGAAAAGAATGATCGTGAGTGACAGCTTCCCTCCTGCACTGACCTCATGCAGTGCGTCCTCAGTCTCCGCCCTACAGCCTGAGTCCAGGATCTATTGCCTGTTCGTCCGTGGGAGCTGATCCCTCTGTCAATATGCTCCTCCCTGACGTTTCTCACTTTTCCCCACAGGGTTTTTGAGTCGTTCCTTGCTGATGCAGGAGGGTCTAAATAAGGACTCTCATGATCCAGGACATTTACGCACATTTATGGACATTGGCCGTCCGTTCCCTACATATAAACCAATGTCTCATACGTGTTTGTGACGATTGAATTCCCTGTGTTCAAACTGTACAATCTGTTGTTGAGGAATCGTCAACTTTGCAAAGTCCTGCTGCTGATTAAGTGCTATTCAAAAATAAACAGAATAGCATCTAACAGCGTGCAGTGCCACCGCGCGCAGACAGAGGGAGCCACAGCAGCCGCAGCGGGACCTTCCACTCAACGCTCCACGCTCCATGTTGAAACGAAGCAACTTGTCTGCGGACTCCAGCCGTGCGCCACAGCCCCTCCGCGTCCAACCGAGCATCACCCGCGACTGCTATGACGCTGAAGGGGAATATAAACACCAAAAACAAACTCTGAACCGAGAGGCTTCGACATACGGTAAGTTTACGTGTAATTACGCTCGTACTACGCCGAGCTGACACGTCGCGCAAACACATAACTTACCATTTCAGCTTCACTTTTGTAATCTGCATGTTTTGATCCCAGGATATTGAATGTTCTATAGAGGAAAGCAGCGTGTGTGATCGTGACGACATCGCATCATTTTGGGGGGAAAATTCGGTCCATGGTGGTAGGACCAGACGTCGTGGTGAACTGGGTTGTGGCTACTAGCATGAGCAACGCTAGCACCGCCGGATCCAAGCCTCCACTGGCCGTGTTAGCTGCTTCTCTTTCTGACGATGTCCACCCCCCTGAGCAGGTTAGAATGTCTACAAATATGCTTATACCGATTGATAACAAATCCTGCGTATGTCATAACGCGTTGTTGGTTTTGACACGTGTGGGTGAGATCATAGATGACACCCAGCATTATGCCAAAGCAACACAGCCTTGTATGGGGGAGACACAGGCTGTTGTTCATTTGCCTTTAGTCATTCATGATCTGTAGATGTTGTGTTATGTGTTGTAGTATGTTACATTTTTCCTTACAGGCCCAGGCTAATCGCTTAAGAATGGGTCAGGGTTATAGCAATGACCAATGTAGGTGGTCATTGCTTGTCTTATGAAAATGGTGTTGAATGGTCCATCATCTGTCAAACACGTATCTTTATTTCATTTGTTGAATTCGTGGATTTTTATTGCTAAATATGTAGCTGTCTATGAGTTGTAGCTTGCTTGTTTACGATATTTCCTGGTAACCATTGACTTTACCCCAGAGAATAGTAGGATCCTCCCATTCAAACACACAGACAACCTAGTAACACATTTATTCAAAGAATTATAGTAATGTTTATTTGTGTGTATGAAGTGTTATGTGTTATTGATTTATACAGCACAGTTCACAGATCAAGGTCACACTAAGTACATTACGATTTTGGTGTACCAATAATTTCCCATTCTCTCCACACATGGTGATGACAGAAGCGAGAGGTTGAACAAACTGGCACATTGAAGCCAGCAACCCTCTCCATGCATTCACTCTCTAATTTTTAGTGGTAGGGAAACCATAGTACCCGCTTGAAACATAAACATGACACAGGGAGAACATGCAAACTCGACTCAGACGAGCCCTTGTCTAGAGGTGGAATAGAATCCAGGATCTTTCTTACTATGGATTGTGCTATCATTGTCAAGCTAGGATCCTGACAATGGGTCCTTATACTCTCTGACCTTAAAATGTCCTGGTATGTTTATCTCCCTTAAAAACATTGGTATAAGGTTTAGGTTTTTTAGAATAACATAATGATGCCATACAATGTTCTTCAGATATAAAAAAATACAATTGTTTTATTTGTTGCCTGTCCAGCTAAGCAGATTTATCTTGAACGATAGTTTCAACAGGTCAATAAGTACATCATAATAAAAAACCATGATATGCTTCTCTGTGTGAATATAGGTAATGTCAAAAAGCCCACAAACAAAAAATATTATATCTATTGATTTCAAAATGTTTCCAAATTGAATACAAACGTCAACAACCATCACAGTGTGGGGCTGGGAACCATTTATGTTTTGTCTAATAGAATGTATGCAGATATCAAATGATTAATACAGAGAAAGGAACCAAAAATGAAGCGTTCGGGAACCAAAACCGACTAAAAAAAACAGTGCTATTGTTCTTGTAATGGTGTACCAGACATTTGAATGGCTCCCAGCACCGTGTAGCAGCACTAACTCCAAAAGGTTAAAGTCGTTAAAGGCTATTGTTATCATGTTATTGTCTGTTGTTCCGATGAAAGGTGTGGAAAAACTTAGCATTAAACATAGCGTCACTATTCACATTCTCTAGAAAAGTTTCTCATGATTGGGGCTATATTTGCAGAGTTGCATAATAATCGTAATACATTTGCCTCTCCTCATTGCTGTACACGTGTGAGTTGATACAGACACCCTAAAACATCGCACACCTCATTTACTGCAGGACTAAGTGTTGAAAACATGTTAAGTGGTCCATATTAAATGCTTCAGCCTCATAAAGGTTACATCCACTTCACGAAATGACAACAAAAAGAAATCAGCGAAGTGACAAATGCCAAAGTGTCCAGTCATCTTTATCTGTTAATCTCTATTAGGTCTGTCGAAGAGCGAACACTGATCCTTGTGAAAAGGTTTTTAATTTGATGGAGAAATATTGGTGGGAGCAAACAGCCAGCACAAGGACATCATAATTACAGTAGTGCAGATAGCGAATAGTGAAGTGTTTATCTGATGACTAGAGCGAACGCCGGCAAAATGGCAACACTATACGATTTAAGAGATCCTCTATTCGTTCCACAGTGGGGAAATGTCGGTGTTGCATCACAAGTTACAGAACAGTAGGAATGAGGAGCACACAGCCAAAGATAAATGATTAATAACTCTATACTAAAATCAAATGAAATCTCGTAACACCAGCATCAAAAGAAGCAGTATAAAATCTCTATCTTTAGCATAATAAGGAACAAAGTCTTAAAATGTACAACTTTAGCATTAGAAAGAAGCAAGAATTAAGTACAAAAACCCCTGACTTTTGCATGATAAGGAGTAAAACGCTGTATATTCTAGTGCAAGACAAGTTATATATGTGCAAGAAGGAGCGCTACCGCAGGGCCTTTACCTGCACCGCTGTCAGACTGTACAATAAGTCACTTTATGTCACTAATGCACTAGGACTGAAAAACCTGCACTGCTATTGCCACTTTTTATTGTACATAATATATCCCGCACTGACTATATTTTTTTCCTTTAACATGTTTCCATACTTCTGTCTTTTGCACAAATCTGAGTGATTCTATCCATGCTAAATGTGACATGTAAATTTCTCCAGTGTGAGATCAATAAAGTCTATCTCATCTTATCTTATCTATAGCTGTGTGTAAAAATCTGTATATATTAGCAGCAGTGAGTCAGTAAAGTGACAGTAACGCATGTGGTTCTATATTGTACATTCGGACATTATTAAAGTATATATAAGGATGTTTGTGCTAATACTGTCATGATTTTTTTTTTACAGAATGGCATTTTCAGGGCTTTTTACATACTGTATGCTTCTGTTGTTGAATTCTTGGTTTGATTCTCTGCCTTCCTTACTACAGCTACAGCCTACCTTTCACTAATCAGGTGGAGGCTCTTAATAGTCTTTGGCCATAAGCTTATCAAGTAGAGACCCATGGCTTTCCCCGTCTAAAGCGCATGACTTACGAGGTGAGAGTGGCGAGGCAGGCAACGTCACGATTATTATTATTTTTTACTTAGTGGCATTAAGCTGTATCGATGCTTTTTGTAGAGGGGAATCCACAGTAACAGATGTCCCAAGTGTAATGGTGTGCTCAAAAGATTCCACTGGATGTTGCGTTTGACCTTTTGACGGGCGCTGCGAAGCTTCTAGTTTTTCCCATATGCCTGGCAGTACACAAAGCCACAGGCGGATGTTGTTTTTGAGGATTAAAGTCAGTAAATGTAACGTAGATAAGAGTGTGATGAAGCATCTTGAAAACTGGCACCCCAGAATATGATTTCTAGGCCACTACTCGGTTCTGAATGTGGCTCTTGGCTCCAGGGAGATAGAGAGATAGAGAGATAGAGAGAAAGAGGGGGAGAGAGAGAGAGATAGAGCTTAATAGAGGCCTAGTTTGTGTCAATATTCCCTGCTTAGTTCATGCCACCAGTTTTTTTTTTTTGTACACACATTTGTAGAAAATATCCAACACACAATAAGGTCATGATATAAAAGCATATGGTTTCTGATACAGCTGCGATAATACATGTCAGTTAATGTGAGCTTTAAATTGTAATGTAATCGTAAAGTAAAAATACACATTTGTTGATATAATTGGTAACTAGCCCACACAGTCATTGCAAAATACTCCTGGTAACAAATGCATTATGGATGGATTGAAAAATTGTAAATTGAGAAACATTTAGTCACTATTACTGTTGAAACATATTCTCCTATAGTATGCATATTTAACATTTTATTTTAGGAACCTGACGCCACATTAATCACTGTCAAACCGACTAGTGAAATATGTTTTAGTTGCAGCTCAAGTCACATGAGATGAGATCACGATGTGTTTTTATCACCTCATCGTCAGGACTGACTCTCAATCTCTTTTATCATGACAGCTTCGAACTCCCACTCAGCTTCTGTTTTTTTTATTCATCCCAGGTTTGCTGCGTTTAGCTTGAAGCTGCCCCTGGACACTTGTTCCTGCTGCAGGGGTAGAAGTATTTTTAGAGTTTTATAGCCGTCATAAATTCTCCTACTCTATCACAGAATCCAAACAGTTCCTGGTGGCACCTTTCACCTAGCTCTACTCGACGAATAATAAAAGCAATAGGGCGTCTGTAAAAATGCTTATGATTTATTTATTATGAAGCAGTCCTAAAATCAACATCACTTTGTTCATTCAGATTCTGCATGCTTTCTGGCGAAGAATTGTTACTATTTAAAATTAAAATAATTCCAAAATGACTTTGCTTCACCTTGTTAGTGGTGCAGTTTCTTCCATAGTGCTGTTTGTGGTTAGAGATGTCAGGTGACAGGAGAAAGCGTTCAGTTGCACTAAAAGGAAACTTGTGACAGCGGCTGTCAGTGCCAGCACCGTGAGCCAGACCACAGTTCTCCAGTTTCACAAAATGCTTTTGTTTAAGTGACCAGAGCTCAGTGTGAGCCTGGGCTGCACTCACTTCGAGGAAATAGGCACATGTCTTTATATGCATAGACATATATTTTGTGGACCTTTACATCACATGCACAAATTCTTTAGTTTAGTTCATTCTAAAGTCAAGTTTGAAGTCTTGCAAGACATTTGTAATTAACGCTTTAATGGTTTGCTCAACCATTTGGCAAATTGCTTTTTGAGTCACTTTATCTGCTTGAAGCTTGATACTGAAATCTACCTCATTGGGGCTTCTCTATCACTTGGTTTTTGGGCACTTTTTACCATCAACTACATCCCAACCATTTTGTAGAAACCTGTAATTAAAAACCTAGAGGGTTAAACGATATAATTAAAATAAAAACAAACTCTTTTGTTATTAGAGAAAGTCAAATAAGAAATATACATTGCTTTCTTCAAGGAATGACCATTATCCAACTTTACCTATGTTATACGATGGACATGTTATACCTCATTTTAAACCTCTGAATCTGCAGACTTTACTCATCTGCTATACAATCCACAAATATATTACTGATGAAACATGGTCTCGGCTCAAAACAAAAACCCAAATCAGTCGTATGCTAAGCACTACTCCCTCCGTAGTGTAACTAACTTCATACTTAAGTTATAGACGGTTATGGGAAGAAAAATCCTCAGTAGCAGTTGTCCGAAGGGCGCTCCATATCTGCGAGTCCCGGGTTGAATGCAGGTCACTCTCTCCAGTGGAAAGAATGGGATCAGTGTGATGTAAAAATAGGCCAGACAAAGATGATGTAGTAAATGTTGACTCTGTTTGGTGTGCTGGTATGAGTACTCAGCGTGGTGAATTGTCCCTTCAGTAGATAAAACTGTGATGGCAATCGTTACGTAACTCTAAATACATGTGAACAAAGGTTATTTTTGCACAACAAACGCGACTGGGTCTTATAACTAGTAAGTGCATTTACTACTGTTGGCATCCTCCTCACTTTCTCACACTATTTCACAATGTTTTTTTTAGTGGGTTCGTATCTTTCCAAGTCGAGGACATATAATCAAGCCGAGCTGCAGGTGCACTGTTACAGCCGGCAGTCACTTTCACACCTCTTGGATTGTTTGCTTTAATTGAGCCCACTGTAAATGAGACCTCGCTTTGACCCTTCCTCGTCCGGGAACGGTGCCAGCGTAGACGCCTGTTGGGTTTTTGACTTGGCTTTGGTTTGCTTCTTTAACGTCTACTGTACACTAATGCTAATATTTATGGCCGGCTCAGCTCCCCCTGTTTTCTTCTCTGTGGTTGGTTTGTTTCCCGGTCAACTCAGACGCTCTCTCTCAGTTCTCTTCTTATTTAGGTTAGATCACACAGGGACGGCTGAGGAAAACTTACCTGTCAACATGTTAATGATAATACTCTATAAATGGTGTTTTTGGACACCAGAGATTGACCGGTTTTGTGGTTTTCAGAGGCAAAAAAAAATAATAGTTCACCCTGAACCATTGTACATGTTTTCAGTGGTAAAGGAAACTGTAGCACCCGGAGGAAACTTATGCGGACACCTGGATAACATGCAAACTCCACACAGAAAGGCCTGAAGGTGGCATTGAACCCAGAACCTTCTTGCAGTGAAGCACAAGCAATAACTGCTGCGCCACTGTGCAAACAGGACATTTTTCATGGTTATTTTATAGTGCAGAATATTGATGGGAATAGATTTATTATAAAAGAGAACAAGGGATAAAACTTGATAAACATTTATATTTTCTGAAGGTTTGTTCATGGCTCATCTCATGCATCTATGGTTAATTTGTGTTTTTACTTTTTCACATATTTTTATTTTTTTTCCTAATTAATTACAGTTAGGATTGTTGTTCGGAGTAATATAAAATAATACATTTTTATTTTGTTCAAATCTTTGTACTACTTGTTGCTACATACAGGGAAACTCCCTAGCTGAGGGTTAGTTATTCATTATATTGTGTCTCCTGTCCGATTTATACTTTGTTGATGCACAGTAGACGATTAAACGAACTGTGTTGTCTTTAGCCTGTAGTCTTTCTGGGTGTGTGCGAACTGTCTATTTACTAAGTAAATATGCTGCCTAAATAGAATTCTCGAGAAGACAAAGACTCTGACAGGGCTTTTCTGTATGGAGTTTAAATGTTCTTCCAGCGTCTGAGTAGGTTTCCTCCAGGTGCTCCGGTTTCCTCCACCACTAAAAACATGTACTATAGGTGTACATGCGCCTGCTTTATACAGGTGACCCTGTTTTCCTCGCTGTGTGGAATGAGAGACGAAGGCCCACAACAATTGTAAAGTGCTTGTGGCTTTTACTCTTAACTTTGACCATTTCATCCGTTGACCTACTTTCGCTGTTTGTCATTATATGTTCAATGTTAAGTCTGGATGACACCGCAGTGTTTGCAGGTAGCAAACAGTCAGCTCTTGATGTTCATAACTCTCTCAGGATCAACAAGCTCCACCTCCAGTGTCTGTGGTGTGACCAGGAGGAGCAAAGGAGTGCACCGGAGCCATATAGTTTGGAATTTGCTAGAGTGAAACCTAAGTCGATTTGTTGAATGTGTGCAGGTGAGACGGCTGCCCCCACAAAGTCCTCTGAATGTGGAGTCTGCTGCAGCTCAGGTGAAAGGTAAGCTGGGCCCCCACTCATCTGGACTCACCCTCTCAAAGGCTTGTCATATGTGCTGCTCGTGTGCCAAAGTTCCAATCCATAAATAGATTTGTCACCTGTGCAACAAACAGTTTTCAGGACAAAGTGAAGTGTGAGGCACGTCTGAAACCCAGTCTAGCTCCAGTGGAAGAGGATGATTGTTTTGGGATTCTGCTCAGCTTGATTTTTGTATTAAATGTATTAAAATGTATTGTTTTGATCACAACAATGTTACGTCAGACAGCCATCTCCATGCAGCTATTTAAATTTATTGCATTTTGAACTAATTGGACTTTCTACAGTTACAGCAATTAAAAATACGTGTGGATTATAACACAACAGGTGCAATCTGTAGAGTGAGGGTGGTAACGTCCAATGAATCAAAAGCAAATCTGCCAAAACTAGGAAAATCTTGGCTGAGTACCTGTCAATTTGATCAGCAAACCGATGAATCAGCTGTTCTCCAGGTGTATGAATGAGCACAGGAGCATCTGGGTGTGTTTTGAGAGGGAAGAACATTTTTGAGCTACACAAGGACATTGTTGGCACCAAAATTACATTTGAGAAACACGCTCAAAGCCTCAAACAGGCCTCGTGCCCAGAGCTCATGTTGATGTTTTCAGCCCTAGTTTATTGACTAGTCTCATGTAACCTGCAGCGGTCCGCTTATGGCTTCATCTGAATGTAAAATGTGTTGTTCCGCGGTGTGTCCCGTTTACAGACAGTATATGAATGCAAGGTTCTCACTGCATACTCTTTTTGTCTGTGATTGCAAGGTATGGAGCATTCCCCATGATTTTCTTTTGCTAAGTCAGCCGGCTCAAGGAGATCAAAATGTTGACAAAACATAATATCGTGACATCGAGGAAAATGTACAGTTTATTTTGTGTTGAATGTGTACACAAGTTTGGAGTAAGTATATTTTCTTGATTGATATGAATCGTGCCAAGAAAAATTAATGGGCATCTTTGAAATAGTTACCAACATAAAATAGATCTACAGTGGAGTACATTGACAGAAATACATCCAACTTATGTATCTCAATCATTTACAATGTGAGTGAAGTGTGGCATGATAGAAGTCTAAATTTACCCACTAGGGATTCTATGTGAGACCTGCTTTTATCCCCACAAATAGTGCTGTAAAGAGGCTCTGTTGCTCCTGTCAGAAGTCCATCCAGATGGTATTGACATAGAGAATTTTCAATATCCTGGTACACCTACAAACGGGTAGAAATGGGCTTTTCTGAACCACCTGCTGGCTGAGGAACATAAGGATATATATATAAGGCTATAGGAGGATGAGATTGTGACAGACTTCAGATGGCGCTGCTATAATTATGTAGACTCATTTCCACCATTTTTCTCCATTCAGTTCTTCATCTGCAGTCTATTATTCACTCCACAGAGACCATGAAAAGGCCGTGTCATGATGAAACTGGGTCTTTAAATTGCTGAAAATGGAAGTGGGCCACAAGACATTCAGATTTGCATAGCTTTGTGTATGTTCTAAGGTGCATTGAAAAGAAAAGGCTTCGTCTTTTCATTTTTTGCATAAAAATAATGCTTTTTTTGAAGACTTGCATTATAAAATCCTTTTCTGTTTTGTGCCTGTTCCACTTGTTGACAGTGTTTTTGACTGGGCTTAGTTTTGCATTTTGTATGTGCATGTTCTGACTCTCGAGCAGTGTGTGACTTTCAGTGTTGTATTTGGGGCGGTACAATTGGTGTCAGTATTCTCACATCGAGAGTCACAGCACCCTCTGGTCATTGGCTTTTTCCAAAGGCAGTTCATCATGCACCATACAGTGTTTGTGCGTCTCTGCATTAGCACCAAAATGCACACACTTGGCACCGGTGCAGAGACCTCTTCTATCAGCCCTACTCTGAAGGGCCCTGCTTAAGGCTCTCTCACACAGCCACATCTGGCCAACATCCAACCACCCAAGCACAGACAGCCAGCTGGCTCTCTGTGGTGAACAGGTCAGACATGGTAGCAATGTGGCTAGGGACATGTACTCCAACGCAAGCTTGCCGAATACACTTGTGGACTCATGTGTTAGAAAGTAGTGAATCAAAACCTTTTGAGGTTTATTAAATTGCATTTTAGTTGTTAACAGAGTCTCTACAAGGAATGGAAAAGCATTGATTAGGATTAAGAGAATATCCTTTTTTTAGTCCCAAAGTGGGAAATTTCAGTGTTGAATCACACGTTAGAGAACAGTAGGAATGAGGAGCACGAGCACAAAATCTCCATCTTTAAAAAAGAAACACAGTACAAGAAAGTACACACCTTTGAGGTATAAACCTGTAAACTCTAGTGCAAAGAAAAGCGCAGCATGAAGAGTCACCTGTGTGTGATATTATTTACACATGTTACTAATATTTACAGTCTATGGTGTGACATTGGAGATCACGGCGTTAGCTCTACATTGTCTGATGAGTCACTGATGAGGTCGAATCCACCCATAAAACCAACCATGTCAGCAGTCTGTGTGAATTTTGAGTAACCGGAAGACAACCAGGGTGTGGTAAAACCACAAAAAAGCAATATCCTGTCAGCAGAAAGTTGAAACAAAAGGTGCCAATACTTTCAATTATGATCCATTTTGAGACAATCATCTCTCCAAGTAAAAGTACAAAATGTAAATGAGTCCTGGATCTACAACCTGTTTGTCAGTGGGAGTACATCCCCTTCTCAAAATGGGCCTTCCTGCCTGAGGTTTCTCACTTCCCACTGGGTTTTTTTCGATTCATTCCTTGTGGATGCAGGAGGGTTTAAGAACACTGATGATCCAGGACATTTATGGACATTTATTACTGTAATGTAGGTCATCTCGCTCCCTATGGACCAATGGCGCCTATGTGCTTGTTAAATATTGTACTTCCTTTATTGGATCGATTCTCTGATCTGTTGTTGAGGAATTGACAACTTTGTGAAGTCCTCCGATATGACAACTGTTGTGATTGAGGGCAACAAAAAAAATATATAATAATAATTCCAGTCCTCTAAATAGTTTCTTGAAAGAGTAACCTTTCAAGGCTAATATTGAATCCAAGACTCTGCGTGTTGTAGGTATTATTAAACACTTTGAAAGAATAAAGCATCCATGAAAAGAATGAGTTTAGTTTCACATTACTTGGAAACAGTAAAGTAAGTAGTAATGATTAAAAACATATCAAGACATTTATTGATTATTTATTTTATTTATACTTTTATACTTTGTATTAAATCTGCAAAGTGTTTTGTTTCTATTTCTGTATACCAACGTTCTTGTAGCTGTAAATTTCAAATTTAGATTTCTTTTGTCTTTTATTTTTAAAGGACAAAAATAGTTCACTGTCATTATTCCAATCATTCTGAACAATACTTTGCAACATTTACCCTCACAATAATTTTAACTTAAACATAAGAAGTTGTTACAGCGCCATATAACTAGGTAATATTTCTGTCTGAAGTATTGTTTTGAACAGCAGTAGTCCTAATAGACCAGAGCCTACACTTCAAGGCCACAGGGCAGTTCTTGCGCAAAAATATAACATCAGAAAGTCCCAGAATAGAAAAACTCCACCACACACAGCCTCCCCATGTGTCATCATTAAACCTCCCCTTCTCAGTCTCCTGTTTTTTTTTTTTTTCAAAAAGTCTAAAACTGGATTTTTCTTGCTTGTTGCTTATTTTGTATGGTGTGTTTTTGTTGCAGACTCACCATTTACGGCAATTCAGTGCTATTTTTGACTTGAACCTCCTAAATTAGGTGCAATTATCTGTTCAAAATGGCCGGGTGAAATGCTCTTCTGTACTGCATGCTTTTGGATATAGGTCACATGGTCCTCTGTTATTGCTTCTTGGGGGGTGTCCCTCTTAATCTGTGTCATCATCGGAACAGCTGTCTCCGAAATGTGGAAAAGCTCTCACCATATACAGCCGTCTTACATCCACGTTACAGGGATTTGCTTTGTGTTGTAAACAAATGGCTTGATCTGGTTTTATCTTTATATACACACACTCACTCGTGAGGTGAAGCCATCTGGTAAATATCTTGACCCATATTTTATGAGTATTGTATGGACAGGTGGTTAAGCCTAAGAACGTACTAATAAAAGATGGATACAAATGATACACCATGACTATGACACAAACCCAAGTTTCTAACATTTCAGGATTTGCCGAATCCAGCGGTGTCACTTATTTAGGTTCGAGCCAAGTTTTAAAACATAACTTGGGTCAAAAGTGTGCACGTGCTTTACTTCTATATTCATCTTTATTTTTATTTATTTTTAACATATTTTTTGTATTTTGACATGGGTTTGAATATTATTTTCTTGAAGGTTTGGATCACAACTGGGCCAAATATCAACAAAATATGTAATTGAAGATTCATTAAATATATTACCAAAATAATCTTTGGCCTTAACATAACTTCTAATTACATGTTACATTTTAGAAGAGATTCAAATATGTGGTTGTTTTCCTGATAAGATAATCTTTAAAATAAAGTATAACATGCCATAGTTTGACATGTCTGGTTTATCAGTGTTTCTCTTGTACATGCCAGGCCAAAGAGGCGTGTTTTGGTTTGGCACATTTATTAATGTTTGTATAACTATTATTTGGATGCCTTGAGTTCAGCATAAACACAAACAGGATTGTGGCCAAATGACATTCAAGAACCGGATAGATCTGTCCTGAAATTAACCATGTTAAATCAATATGTGTTCAGACGAGGCCGCAGGCGTGTTGTCAATAAATATGTTTGATTCTGCTCTTTTCCATGTTCACCTCGCCTAAAGCCATCTATATTTATGTATTATTTAAACATAAATCTGACATTAGTGAATACAATCCCTGTTTGTTCCTGTTGGTGACTGTTGCATCATTGAGAGTCCCTCAGAGGGACTTTGTCTTCATTAAATCAGTCAAGCACATTAAAAATATACAGGTTGGAACACGCCACGTGTGCTTTCGCAGCCCCCCTC